TTCTAGAATTAACCTCTCTGGCCAGTTCTCTCCCACCTGACTATGCCTTCAAACATACACAGATGTTTTCTGTTTTAAAATTCCTTATTGATAAAGCTACTGCTCTTCATTTCTCCCTCTCTTCCCCTGTCCAACACTAAAACCAGTGGCCCACGACAGTCACTGCTTCTAGGCCCTTAGCAGCCACTCTATTGAATGTGGCTTTTCAAAGATCCTTCCTTATCACCAAAACCACTTTCAAAGTCATGGATTTTTCTCAGCCCTCTTAATTCTTAATGAATCTGAGGCTCCTGACATTCTTCAGTATTTATACCCCTTTTTATTGGAAGCTGTGGCATTGAATTTTCCTGGTTTCCCTCTCACCTCTCTGGTCCTTGCACCATTTTCTTACATGATTATTTCTCTCCTTTCATTATTTAATTGAAGCCATTCTAATCTTCTCTTGTCACATTCCTTCCCTCAGCAAACTGAACTTATATCTGGTTTTACCAAGTATCTCAAAACAGATACATCTGAAGATACATCTGAATAGCCCTAGCCAAGAGATACATTCCAAGCTCAAATTTCTAACCACTTAGAAAATTCCATGGGGAAACATCATCACCTCTCACTTTGCATCCTACCTTCTCCAAACCTATCAGTGGGAGCACTATGCTTTCTACTCATCATCAGCTTGAATCTGCAGCCTAATCTGCTGTCTTGCCATGGGTTTCAGCCCCGGGCAAGTTCACTATAGATTCAATGTGACCAAAGAAATGACAGTAAAACGTTCTTGAGGTGAAAGGATTATACCCAACTTTATTTCCACAGTGGCAGGTCAGTCACTAAAATCCCGTTCCCTCAGAGCGAGTCTGCATGCAGCAAGCCGGTCTCTGCCTCTGGGCCTCTCTTCCCACACAGCAGTTCTATGGGCCTCTCTGCCTGCACAGCCTTCCTCTGGGCCTCTGTTCTCAGCGCTGCCACCACTCCAGCCTCTGCTCTGCTCTCCTGCAGCCTTGCAGCTGTGCCACCATGTCACCCAGAGCACTGGGCGGAACTCTTTCTATAGACTTAATAGCAACGTATTGCCCACACATGTGTAGTGAGCTAGCCAACCAGGGCCAGGTGACAGGAACTTCCATTTTATCCACATCTGCTTTCTCTTCATTCATGCACATCATTCATGCAGCAAGTGTGTTTACTCAGTACCCACTGTTTTCCAGGCCCTAGGCAGACAGCAGTGAATAAAGCACACATGGCTCCTGAATGCATGGAGCTCAGTCTACCAGAGGAGACCAGTGTCAAATAATAACAACACAGTGATGAACTTAATACAATTGTAATAAATTGCTATAACGGAAAAAAATACAACCTGTGGTAAGAACATATAAAAGGACACTTAACATAATGGGAGTGGGGAGGGCAGTCAGGGAAAACATCCACAAAATAATAGCATTTATGCCAAAAGGAAGACAAAATGCAATCCCAGAGAATCTTTACCTGACCCTTTATGAGGTTCAGTCATAGCTTCTCTCCTTTCCTCCCTTTTTATTTCATTCTCACTGACACTCTAAGACCCATTTCCCTTCAGCCAAGGCAAAAGTTCCTGCTGCCAGATTAATATTTCCAATACCTTGCTAACAACATTAGCAGCTCCCCACTTCTTTCAGCACCAAGCCTGGTTGACCCTTAGCGGAGCACTGAAGGTCCTGCCATACTCTGATCACACTAATCATATCAAACCTATTCCACAATATCTCTGTGTCCTCTGCCCTGCAGCTTGGTCTCAGCATTCTGGGAATAAGCCACACTAGAGTCTTGGCAGAGTGTGCTCTACTGAATTAACAAGCTGAGTGAAATTGGCCACATTCTTGGGTTTTGGTTTTTCTGCACTCACATTCAAGCAAACAGCCAAAGCCCTGAGATTATGCCCACTTCTCCTCACATCTATCACCAGATAGAGAATAAGTTCCATGCTGACCACTAAGTGGCAGGAGCTAAAAACTGGGTGAGTGATGGCCCCTGACCAGACAGGCTCCGTAAAGAGTCACACTGTAAAACTTCCTTGAAGTGTCCAAGGACCACATGAAACTCCCTCCTTCACTGCTTATGTCGCCACAAGCAGCTCAGGGTATGTATAAACCAAGAGCATAATTCCTCTTCCCTTTCTGATTCCCGTAATACTTATTATTGGCATCACACATTTTATCCCTCAATATAATAAGGGATATTCTCTTTTATGGACATAAAACTTCTGGGAAAGTTTAAGCCACTGAATATGTATAAAATATGAAAAAACTGGGGACTCATTAAAGATTTCTGGCCACTTTGTCAATTTAAGAACATAAAAATGTGCTTTACTTAAAAGTATCATTTACTTAAGAAATAATTATAAATCTCTGTGTTTGCTGTGAAGTATTTTTAATTTTAGTTCAGAAGGATATATAAGACTGACCTTTAATGAATTACATCATTTAGTTTTGTAAGCTACTGGAAAGAGTAGAGGGGCAGGTGGGAGGAAAAGAGAGAGGGAGAGAAAGGAGTCTTGAGAGTAGATGAAACTATCTACTTTGAAGGAAAACAAAAACAATCATCCTTGGTTTGGTATACTTCCCTGTGCTAAGGAGGGAGAAAGGTATACATTTTCAAAAAAAGGAGCTTAGAGACATAGGAGGAGAGGAAAAGTAAGTGTTATTCACTACAGTTTTGCCATGTGGAATTCAAACTAATCAGGCTCATTTCAAACTACCCTGATTAGTTATTTCTCCACTGATACTTCATTTTTACAGTCTGAAAACAGAAAATTTGTTCAGAATAAGAGAAACTTCTTTACCTTTTCCATGTGAGTTTATTTCCTGACTTAATGCGATCATTTCCAAATTAAAATTATATTCGTTTACATGTTGCTGAAAATGGAGAATAAAACCACATTGTACGAAAAATATGCTAAGCAGAATTCCAACCTATATACCTAGGCAAAAGCATATTCTTAATACCAATATCTATGTGTGTGGCCAATATTACCAGTTTTATCTTTTTGTTCGCTTTTGCACATAACCATGGAGTCTAGTGATTTGCAGCAACATGATTTAGAAAGCATTCTCCATCTCAATAAAGTCTTTTAATTTCCTTTCTTCCATACTTTAAAAGAGAGAGTTCTGGGTATTTAAAACAATGTATTTGTCTACACCAAGTGGGAAGAGTATGTGGCAAAAAAGCTAAATTCAGATGCCAATTTCACTGATCAAAGTATCTCTAAAACTGTATGGAGCTATACAGTTAGATTCAGAATGCATCTTTAACAGGAGGTTCTGCCATGGATTAAGGTTTTCAGCTACTACTGCTTCAAAGAGATGCCCTTTTCCTAGTTAACTCTCCTAAGCCATTCCCCTGTTCCTGACAACTTTCACTACAGAGATTCAACATCACAATTTTATTCCTCTTTGCATCTTTGGAAGAGAGGAGTCACAACATGAATCCATGTCACATGTCTCATACTTGTTTCAGCTCACCTATGGATCTCACAGATGGTATCTCATTTCGTGATAAAACTTTGTAAACAATGTTGTGGTGTGTTTGAGGTCTCCTCAAGTAGGCAACATTTACTCATCGATCTCAAAATAAAGTCAACAAGAATAAGCCCTCAAACAAATAAGACACTAATTTCTTCCATCTCCTGAAAGAGGAAGGTTGTCCTAAGGAAAAAAAAGTTCACTCAAGCCTTGATAGTGAAAAGTTTACTGTACTATGTCTTCTCATACATGCACTAATCACACTCTGTAAGGAGTTTAATATAAACCATTTCTTTTACATAACTTTTAAATTCTAGATTCAAAATTCAAAGCATCTGAATCATAATTTTCAAAAAATATTTAAGCCCAAAATTTCCCAGAAAAAAATGTTTCATTTTTCTGACTCAGCATCTCTCTATTCTCCCCAACTTCTTAACTTCTGGGGGTGGGAATGAGGGGCAAAGTGCTAAGTCATTCACAAGTGATAACTACACCTTCCACATTTCTGTGGTAACTATTTCAGTCTGGACATGTACTTGTAAAAAATGTCAAATTGAGCAAAATAAACACAATAGGGCAGGTAACACAGGGAATAGTCATTCGTTTATTCAACAAATGTTTACCCTGTTCCTATTTAGGCCTAAGCACTATGCCAGTCATTAAGAATATAAGAGTTAATAAGATGGCTATAGTCTTGGCTCTCAAATAAAATCAAATTGGAAAGAGGAGACAGACATTAAACAATTGTGATAAGTATCATAACTGAAAAGTGCAGGTGCTGTGAAATATGAAAGGAGCCTGAACTTAGTCTAGGAGTAAGGAAGGCTTCCCCGGGGGACAGTTATGCTGAGACTTCAAAGAGGGCTAGGAAAGAGTGTTCTGGGCATGTGAAAAGTCCCTGGGGGGGCAAGGACTGTGGCTGGGTACAAAGGGAGTGGGGGATGCTAAGACAAGAAGAAGATGAGGTACACAGGCATAGGATCATGCAGGACCCTCTAGGCAGTCATTAGGACATTTTGATTTATTCCAGTGAAATAGAAAGCTTTTGCAAGGTTCTAAGCAGGGGAATTCCCTGATAAGATTTAAACTTCTAAACCATCAAACTGACTGCTTTTTGAAGAAAAATTAGGAGAAAGGATAGTGAAGCTCCTGACTCAAAACTCACTCCTCAGGTCCAGCCTTAGTTCTCTCCACCTTTCCGGTCATGTCATGTACTATTCCACATCCTCCATAACATTTCATTTGTGTCACTCTGGAGCACATGGTTCCATAACACCTGGCCACATACTCACCACTTCCTATTTCATATCCCCCTAACTTTTACTCTACTTTATTCTCTCTATTCTATGTCCTGTATCTTTTTGTGTATCTTCATGCTGCTAGGGGTGCAGCAGGTATTCAATGAATACTTCCTAAGTGGATTTAAGGCTCAACCAGCAAGGGTCTTCTAAACTGGAACACAGAATTTCATTAGTTTCGTATCGTTTCACTAGTTTGCCAAGTTCATACCTTTGCAGCCAGCCGACACTCCATTACCCTGATGTTGAAATGAGAAGTTGCTGCCTTATTCATTTCCACACAGCTGTTGGCAATCACAAACACTGCTTCACTTGGGAGTTTCACATCAGTTGCCCTCAGAGGACTAAACTCTATCAGCTTGGCCTATTGGAAGAAAAATGACAGGTGAAAGATAATGTATTAGAATTCAGAAAATGTTTAATCATTTATACATTTATCAACCCTAGTAAAAAATTGTCCCCAAAAAGCATTTATTCATTCAAATTTTATTTATTGACTGCCAGGCACTATACTAGACAACTGAAATGCAACAAACAAGACAGACACTGTCCTGCCCTCGTAGAGCTTACAGCCTAGCAGGAAAGACAGTCAAGGAGACATACATTCCCAGGTTGTTTCAATGGTAGCAAAGCACAGGGCTAAACACATAGCTAAAGAACCTGATCAGATATAGGCCACTGTAAGTTCCTTCCTTCAAAAAAAAGAAATCTAAACTGAGTCTTGAAGGATGAGCAAGAGTAGGACAGACAGAAGGTTTCTTTATGCAAACAGGATGTCAAGAAGAGGGAGGAGCACATGCAAGTTCAGAGGTGAAAACAACATGAGGTGCTAACAGAGCTTTGGGTATTAAAATCTGGCCAGAGCTCAGAGTTTGAGTGGTGAGGAGTGGTGACCCGGTAGGACGGCAGGGTAAAGCGCAGCCAGACCATGAAGTGCCTCACAAGCCCAAAGCATCTGGACTTTGTTCAGGCTCTCTAGCTGACTTACATTAACATCAGGACTCTTGCCATCATGTCCACTTGTCAGGTCTCACCCAAAACACCCGAAGTATTTTCTTAGCATTAAACCAAGTTTTCTCATGCCTCATGTCTGTAGCTTATGAGAATCAATAACAAATATTCTTAATAAAAATAAATCCAGGTATTTTTGGAAAATAGGAAGCCTGTAGGAATCTGATGAAAAACTAAGAAAAGATTTTGAAGAAATGTCTGCTTCTGTTTTGGAAATGGGCAGTTTACGGGTGACAACAAAAACCTCTACTCTGCCTAAGGGAGTTGATAGCCAAAGGGAAGTGGTATATGGTTAAGGAATTCATTCCTGGCGTACTGTCAACATTCTTTTCTCCACCACTGAAGCCCCAAAAATGTTGACAGAGAAAAATGACACCAAAGAGTAAATTAGGAAAAGAGAGATTGAATATATGTCATAAGAGACTAACATTTTAGTTTAAAACCAACAAGAGATTATGAAAATGCCATGAGATGAAGTGATTTGGAACAAGAGCAGGAAAGGAGGTCCTAATAACTAGGGAACTGAGAAATCTCATCTTAACAATGAAGAGAAATAGGAGGGGGGAAACAATCAGACACAAAAGAGAAGAGACTTGAGGTATGATTCTGGAAGTGGAAGGGAGAGGTGACCAACATGAAACACAGTAGGTGAACTGGTCGCAGCCCTGAGTGACAAGGTGGGTGAGAAACACCACCTTCAACAGAGCCTCACAGAACAGGCTGCCCAGAACCCAGCACGCTGGAGATCTCAAGGCGTTCCTCTCCACGTGAACTTTCCCTAGTTGATTCTTCCAAAGAGCTCATGCCACCTACAGTTCCTTCTTCTGCAAGAAATGATATGGACTGGTCCATCCCTCCTCCTTCAGTGCCAATATAATGCTCACTCTTGGTGCAGATCTCTGCAAGTTTCATCTGGAAAAGTAAAAGTTGATTTGCACTGTGAGTATAGTCATAACCTATTTCTCATTCATTTCTTACTCCAAGCACGCAGATAGGTTTGAATTCCAGTGCCAATTCCGATCAGTCAGTAATAGCTGTCTGGAACATTCACTGTGTTAACAAGGCCTCTGAGACTACCACTGAGCTCGACAGAAAAACATACCAAGATCAATTAATGTCTGCTATGGGATAGAATGGGATATTGATCGTGCATGCCACATGCATGCTATCCCTGAAAGACTACAGGGCAAGCAGTTTCTCCCATCTCTTCTGTGTACTCCATCCCTCTCTAGACTGGTATCTCCAAAAATCTCATATGGGTACTCTTCCATTTCTGCTTCAGCTTCCTTTGTCTCCCAACAATGGACTAGTCCACACTTTCCCTGAAGTCAAAGTGGGTCATCCAACTTTATTTTCTCATCCAAAAGTAATGCCTGTCTCTGTGGCACTGCCATTAAATGTAAGAATCAGAATTAGCATGATCTCACCAGACACATCTTCCTCCAACCAAGATGAAGAGGCCCAATACATCAATACAGTTCTAATTCAAACTGAAAATGTTAAAATATCCACTTAAGAATCTTCAGTGGCTTCTTATTGATTAACAAAATAAGTTCAAACTACTCAACCAGTAGTTTTCAACTCAACCACATTTTCAAAGCCTTGCAAAATGTGCAACCAATTTGCATATGAAATCACATTATCTACCACTCTTTTCCATTTAGATTTGTCTCCTTGGCCATTCCATACATTTATGCAACCTGGTATTATTTTCAGTCTTCTCTCATATAAATCCTATTGCCATTCAATATCTAGTTTATTGGTTACCCACCATGGGCAAGCTACGGCTGGCCACTCAAATCTTCCTCCATCATAAGAGTCTTCCTCAAATATTAATATGGCATTCCCTTTCTTCTCTGAACTCCTACAGCACTTATAGTTAGTATCGTCCACTCACTCACTGATTCATTTTTTTCCATCTAAGACTTGATTCAGACTATATACCACCCATTTTACTGGAACATCTGCCTAGAGTGAGCATTCTGAAATACTGACATGATCGTTTCTTGCCTGCTTGGTTGCCAGTGCCTTGATGCTCATGCTTCTCAGCATGGTACACAATGTGTTTAGCAACATAACCCCATAAATTCTTCAGACCATTAGGAATACTGAACAAATAGTATTCCTCGTCTCCCCAGGCTCTCTCATCTCTCAGTGCCTTTGAAATTGTGGCTTCCTGTCCTACTGGCTCAGTAGTCTCTGCAGCATCCCCCACTAGCGTCAGGATCAACTCAAACATCAACTCTCCCCAGAGCCCACACCACCACATAAATCTACACGTACCTCACAACCTCTCCTCTCACTCCCTGTCTCATTTATCAAACTGTCCTTTAAGTGTGAGTTTCCTTGTCTCTTTACCCATCAGTCTAGAGAGATCATTAAATGCTGAGACCAGAGCCCACTTAACTAATATGACTGAATCACATAGTGATCATTATTGTTCTTTCATCACGTCAGGTTTTGATCACATCTGTTTTCCCCAGAAAATTGTCAGTCCTGTGAGAAACAGAAAAAGTATAGTGTTTTTGTGTGTGTGTGTCCCCTCTGTCACACAATGCCAAACACACAGTAAATAATAAACTCCTGCTCCTTTCAATAAGCACCTTTGAGAATAGCTGCCTAAATACTATTTGATAGACTGTGTCATATTCCTTGTTGATCATGTGGATTCACTAACATTAACTGCCTTGTGACATGAGGTAAACTTGGGATTTTGATGTAATGGGCATTGTGCATGGCCTGCTGACACACAGAGCCAGTGACCTGTTCATAATAGACAAATGAAAAATAAATTAGTAACACTTGTATTTTATAATGTAAAGAAACAATAACCCAGGTGAATTAGTCCATGCAACATTAAGTGAGGAATGAGAAGACGTGAGTTCCCACCTGACTATGACCTTGGCTCTATGTGGAAAGTCACCTCCCCCTTTATTTAGCAATAACAGCCATATTTACATGCTAAATACCTGCTGTTATCTCTTTTAAACTTCCAAAGAACTCTGTGCTTATCCTCATATACAGATGAGGAAAATGGGACTGGCAACTCCCCCCTCCCAAACTGGAGATAATATAGCCTATTTTTTTCACTACCTCAAAGAAATGACAAATGAAATCACTAAAATTTAAGTATTCTCCCTCTTAAGAGAAAAGAAACTAAGGCACTAAAAAGTATATGCTTATTGTTTGTAAAAATCTCTTGATGTGTGACAAAAACTATCTTGTAACAGAAATAGGATGTTAATTTTTCCAGACTATCTATCGAGCACATCTGTGTAAAGGGGCAGCCTCCTGCACTGCTATGGATATCCCTACACCTTGCTGAATTCTGACAAATGGATCCTGGACTGGACAGACAAAAGTGAAGAATTCTAAATGTGAGGAAGCAAAAAGAAAGTGATGGAAACAAAGTTGGAAGATGAAAGAAAGGATGATTGATTTTATAGCCCCCATAATACATGAGGAAATCTGTAATGAATACAGAGGAAAGAAACCAGTACCAGACACTTCCGAATCTTGGTTAAAGCCCCAACTCTCCTGACAACTAGCTCCAGGACCTTAGACTGCTTAATTTTTCTGAGTTTCCATTTTTCATATACTATTGTAGCTTCACAAGTGGGAGCTTGTTCCCTATGGCCCAGAACAAGCTCCATATGAATCCGGTGAACATGAAGGAAGGCAAGGGAAAGGACAGGCTGGCCTAAAGGGCTTTATTTCTCACAGCTCACTCGGGTTCCCTTGCTCCATCCATCCTGCCCGGCGGCTGCCTGTGCTCTCCTCTCCCTCCTGCCCATTCAGGAGGAGCCCCATGGGTGGGTCCCAGTGGCCAGCAAACACTAGACCAATTATATACCAGGAATGGAGGGAAGGAAAGAATGGCCATTTCCTCTCCACCCCTTGCCCTGGATGACTGGAGGCTCTGCACTGGTAAACATTCATTAGCATGTAAATGGTCTAAAGCCAGGCGGGGGATTCTGGAAATTCTGAGTGAAAACTTCCATTTACCTCACACTATTAACAATAATAATAGTTTTGGCTGTTAAGATTTAGCAGTACTTACTATGTGACAGGTACTGTTCTAGTTATTTTTCATGAGTTAATTATTCACTTCTCATAATGACCCTTTAAAATAAGTATCTCCCCAGTTTATTGATGAGGTAACTGAATGGGTTGGCTTGCTGAGATTAGGCTAGTAATTAGTAAAGCTGATATTCAAACTCAAATTGTCTAAATCCAGAACCCATACTCTAGATCTCCATGCTATATTACCTCCCATCAGTAATATGAAGACAAATACCTACCACCCTAGCCACATGGTTATTGTAATGATCCAACAAATTAAATAAAAACCTCATAAACTTTGAAGAACTATACAATTGTTTTTTATTAAGGTATGATTGATATACACTCTTATTAAGGTTTCACATGAAAAAACAATGTGGTTACTACATTTACCCATATTATCAAGTCCCCAACCAAACCCCAATGCAGTCACTGTCCATCAACGCAGCAAGATGCCACAGATCCACTATGTGCCTTCTCTGTGCTACACTGTTCTCCCCGTGATCTCCAACACCATGTGCACGAAATATAATATCCCTCAATCCCCTTCTCCCTCCCTCCCCACCCACCCTCCCACACCTCTCCCCTTTGGTAACCACTAGTTCATTCTTGGAATCTCTGAGTCTGCTGCTATTTTTTTCCTTCAGTTTGGCTTCATTGTTACACTCCACAAATGAGGGAAATCATTTGGCATTTGTCTTTCTCTGCCTGGCTTATTCCACTGAGCATAATGTCCTCCAGCTCCATCCATGTTGTTGCAAATGGTAGAATTTGTTTCTTTCTTATGGCCAATAGTACTCCATTGTGTATATGTACCACATCTTCTTTATCCATTCATCTACTGACGGGCACTTAGGTTGCTTCCATATCTTGGCTATTGTAAAAAGTGCTGCGATAAACATAGGGGTGCATATGTCTTTTTGAATCTGAGAAGTTGTATTCTTTGGGCAAATTCCAAGGAGTGGGATTCCCGGGTCAAATGGTATGTCTATTTTTAGTTTTTTGAGGAACTTCCACATTGCTTTCCACAATGGTTGAACTAGCTTACATTCCCACCAGCAGTGTAGGAGGGTTTCCCTTTCTCCGCATCCTCACCAGCATTCGTTGTTCCTAGTCTTTTCGATGCTGGCCATCCTTGCTGGTGTGAGGTGATATCTCATTGTAGTTTTAATCTGCATTTCCCTGATGATTAGTGATGAGGAACATCTTTTCATGTGTCTGTTGGCCATCTGATTTTCTTCTTTGGGGAACTGTCTCTTCATATCCTCAGCCCATTTTTTAATTGGGTTATTTGCGTTTTGGGTGTTCAGGCGTGTTAAGTTCTTTATATATTTTGGATGTTAACCCCTTGTTGGATATGTCATTTACAAATATATTCTCCCATACTGTAGGATGCCTTTTTGTTCTGTTGATGGTGTCCTTTGCCATACAGAAACTTTTTAGTTTGATGTAGAACCATGTGTTCACTTTTGCTTTTATTTCCCTTGCTCAAGGAGATGCATGCAGGAAGAAGTTGCTCATGCTTATTATATTCAGGAGATGTTTGCCTACGGTGTCTTCTAAGAGTTTCAAGGTTTCATACATTCAAGTCTTTGATCCATTTCAAGTTTACTTTTTGTGCATGGGGTTAAACAATAATCCAGTTTCATTCTCTTGCATGTAGCTGTCCAGTTTTGCCAATACCAGCTGTTGAAAAGGCTGTCTTTTCCCCATTGTATGTCCATGGCTCCTTTATCATATATTAATTGACCATATATGGTTAGGTTTATATCAGGGCTCTCTAGTCTGTTCCATTGGTCTATGGGACTATTCTTGTGCCAGAACCAAATTGTCTTGATTACTGTGGCTTT